ATATGATGTGCCAAACGCAGGGTGTTTGGCGCCGCTACAATGAAGTTGGCAGGAAGGGTTCATTGACAGCATTTGATGTGTAGGCCAGGCGTGCAGGCCAGGCGTCTTCATAGACTAATTTCCGCAGTTGATGCTTCGCCAGTAAGAATCGTACTTGCACTTATTGGTGTCGATGCTGAAGGCGAGGTTGTCAGAGCCGCCATCGTCGTACGCATTGAAAAACGCAGGGGCGTTCATCCAGAAGCAGTCGACACTGACTTTGTCCCTGTTGCCACAGGGGGTCTGGCTAAGAATGCCGAACGTATCGGTAGACTGATTTTCGACTTCGTACTTGCCGTGGTAGCAAATGACAGCATCAGCAGTTCGAGCTCGAGCGCGACCCTTGTCGACGTTGTTGCTGAGGCACAGGGGACGGGGCAAGTCAGCGTCGTCAAGGTTGAGAGCCAGGGTGGCGCCCATCAGGGCAAAGGCGGACACGAGCTTGAGCATGAGCATGGTTGGCTGGAGCAAGTAGAAGAGAGAGCAGTTGATGCGAGTGCAAGCTGAGGAGGAACGAGTAGGACGCACTTATGTACCCGAACCCCTGTCACCCTCTAGAAAGAGGAGGGTGGGAGAGTGGGACGCTTGGTAGTCCCTGCTCGAGCGACCACCAAGCTGTCTCCACAGCTTATCTTACAACTTCCGCTTTGCGGCCCCTCGGGCACCCACCATAAGTGGAACAAAGAGCGGCCAGGGATGTCAGGTGAGGTTCGTGTCAATTCGGCCCGCCGAGGCTAATAAGCCCACCTGATGTGGGCAGACATCCCGCGCCACGGCGTCAACAATCGTGGTTGAACCCCTTGCGTGCTCACTTCCGTGATTTGTCTCATCTTTCAGAACCGGGTTGACCCGTGTCAGATGATGAAGCAGCGCGAGCCCGAGGGCACCACGTTGGTACAAAGCGAGCCGGTCGGCAACAGGTGGAAACTTGAGCTGGATCGTCCGATCCCGATGAGGCGCAAGGATTCGCCGATGCAGAATTTCGACTGCGCTGGACGCCCTTTTCCCCGCACACGGTGAGCGCGGTGAGCGGGTTCCCCGTCCCGGCCTCGGCCTGCTCGAAGTGCGGTGGAGCACCGCCGATGCTCTGTAGCACCTCGGCGGACATTGGACGGACGATGCGAAGTTCGCGCACATCTCCGGCTTCTCCGATCTCGACACATCGAGTCCACGCTCGGAAGAAGCAGCGACAGAAGCGGCCTAGACCCTTCTTGCTCGAGCAGATGCACGCGCGCCTTGGTCCTTGCTCCTCTCCCGCGCTGGCGACTGCTATCCCAGCCAGGAGTGATCATGCTACGCTGCCTTTCCGGCAAATGTTCTGCGACTATATCCCTGTGCGAAGAGAATGACAGACCAGAAGCGGGTGAGGTGGGGACGTGCGCATCCTCGCCAAGAGCCGACCGTGACAGAAGTGGTTGGGCAGATTGTCGGGACGTGCAAGCCTCCACTTGGACAGCCGAGCCATTTTTTTTTTCGGCTTGGCCGTCTCGGCTGTGTGCCTTTAGGCGGCGTGACTGTACCGCAACATTCGAGTCGCTGTGTGGAGACAGAGTGGCCCTGGCCGGGTGAACCAAGCTTGAGAGAAGCCAAAGAGGTGCATCGGCCATTTGTCCGAACCCCCGCAATCATGCCCGGATGGCTGCAGGCTCGCTCATCGTGCTTTTTTGCCCCGCTCCAGATCCTCGTAGAACGACTGCGGTCAGCTTTCGGCCACGCATCTCCGATCCAGCCCACACCCGCTTGCGCCCGCCAGCTCCACTCGGCTGCCTGCCGACGAAGCCAAGCCTGGCCATCGGATCGCCCTTATAAGCAGCCCCTCGTCACAGCCTCGCCCCGCTGTGTAAATTCTGCCAGCTGCCTGCCGCAACACCCACCCGCCCGTAGACAACATTCTCCTTTATCGAGATGGCTCCGGGTCTCATGTCCGCCGACGCAAAGGGCGTCTTCAATGCCCAGGCCGTCGAGGCCAAGTCCGCTGCCAAAGACGATGGCGGCGCCAACGAGGGCCTCGGAGGCGGCAAGACGTTCGAGGGCCAGTCCAAGCTGCCCCACCTTCCCATTCCCAAGCTCGAAGACACATGTCAGCGATACCTCTCGAGTCTGCTCCCGCTCCAGTCGCCCGAGCAGCATGCCGCGACCCAACGCATCGTCGAAGACTTTCTCCAGAACCAAGGCCCCACGCTCCAGAAGCAGCTGCAGGAGTACGCCAGCACGCGCGCAAGCTACATCGAGGAATTCTGGGACGAGAGCTACCTCCAGGCCTCGGACTCGGTCGTGCTCAACCTCAACCCCTTCTTCATCCTCGAGGATGACCCCACCCCGACGCGCGGCAACCAGCTCATGAGGACCGCCAACCTCATCCTCGCCAGTCTGGCCTTCATCCACGATCTGCGCACAGGCGTTCTCGAGCCAGACAACGTGCGCGGCACTCCGTTGGACATGTACCAATATACACGCCTCTTCGCCACCTCACGCATCCCCACCGCCAACGGATGCAGGATGGAGGTCGAGCCCGAGTCGAGGCATATCGTCGTCATGCGCCGCGGCCAGATCTACTGGTTCGAGGCGCTCGACGAGGAGCACCGTCCGCTGCTCACCGAGCGCGCTATGCTCGGTAACCTGCAGGCCATCGTGCGCGACGCCGACAAGATCCAGATCGACGACGTTGCCAAAGGATCGGTGGGCATCCTCACCACGGAGAAGCGTCCCATCTGGTCCATGTACCGCGAGCACCTGCGCGAGGACTCGCACAACCGCAAGTGTCTCGAGGTTGTCGACACGGCGCTTTTTGTCGTGTGCATGGACGACTCCGAACCCGCCGACGCCGCCGAGCTGAGCAACAACATGCTCTGCGGAACCTACAAGCTGCAGCGCGGCATCCAGACGGGCACGTGCACCAACCGATGGTACGACAAGCTCCAGATCATCGTCTGTGCCAACGGCGCTGCCGGCATCAACTTTGAGCATACGGGCGTCGATGGCCATACCGTGCTGCGCTATGCGGCCGACGTGTATACCGAGCTCATCATGCGCTTCGCCAAGTCCATCAACTCGGCCACAAAGAGTCTCTTCAAGGCCAAGACCAGCCCGTACGCCAAGGGCGCCGGCAAGAAGGCCAACGGCTCGTTCAGCGAGGCCGATGCGCAGAAGGCCCAGGACGTCAACCAGGCCACGGCACCCAAGAAGCTCGAGTGGAACCTCACCAAGAAGCTCACAGACGGCATCAGGTACGGCGAGACGAGGCTGTCGGATCTCATCTGCCAGAACGAGTGCCAGGTGCTCGAATTCGACCGCTACGGCAAGAACTTTATCACAAGGCACAGATTCTCGCCGGACGCCTACGTGCAGATGGCCTTCCAGGCGGCATATTACACGCTGTACGGAAGGTGCGAGACAACGTACGAGCCGGCCATGACCAAGGCCTTCTTGCACGGACGCACCGAGGCCATCCGAACGGTGCAGCCACACTCGGCCAAGTTTGTCGAGACGTACATGTCGGATGCCAAGACTGACGCCAAGTTGGATGCGCTCAAGAAGGCGTGTGAGGGCCATGCAAAGCTCTCCAAAGCGTGTGCTACCGGTCAGGGTCACGACCGACACCTTTACGCGCTGCATAATCTGTGGAAGAAGCTGCAGGCTGAACGCTCAGACGATCAACCAGCACCCAAGATCTTCACCGATGCAGGCTATGCCAAGCTCAACCATACGGTGGTGTCCACCTCGAACTGCGGCAACCCAGCGCTGCGAATGTTTGGTTTTGGTCCGGTTGTGCCCGACGGTTTCGGCATTGGGTACATCATCAAGGACGACGGAATCACGGTATGTGCGTCGAGCAAGCATCTGCAGACCAAGAGGTTCTTGGACACGCTCGAGGCGTACCTGCTCGATACACAGCGCATGATCATCGAGACGTACAAGGCGGCCAACGTGCGTTCGCAGTCGACGTACATTGACCATGCTGGTGTGGAATGCGACGTCCGAACAGGTCTGCCCATCGGATCCAAGAGCAACGGCTATTCACTCGATTACGACCAGGTGCCCGCACAGCATTTCGGCCAGTCCGGATACTCGTTCTTTGGAGACGAAAAAGCAGCCGCCAAGAAGGACGAACAACACAAGGAAGACTCGGGACAGAGCAGGAGGAGAAGCAGACTCGCCAGCGTCGGCAAGACCATCCTCTACGACGACTATTGATTCGAGTCTGGCAAACGGAACAATGGCTTGCTCAGCTCGCAATGCAATGTGCCAAAGTGTCGATGCGTGGCGTGTGAAGTGACTGCGCAAGAAAGAGAAGCCGTGCAGGGTCGAAAGTGACAGCGAGAGGTGCAGTTGCATTGCGTGTGCGGGGCGCACTGTGTGAAATGTACTGTGTCGAATACGCTGGACGCATTGAACGCATTGAACGCATTGAACG